GAGCGCCTTTTGCAATCACTGATATATACATATATACATATATATATATATACATATATACATATATACATATATATATATATATACATATATACATATATACATATATATATATATATATATATACATATATATATATATATATATATACATATATACATATATATATATATACATATATACATATATATATATATATATATATATATATTATTTTTTCTTTTTTTTAAGGCGACGTCGCCCCGCCTGGGGAGAAGAGAGAGGCGACGTCACCGAATTATATATATATATATATATATATATATACTGAGCGGTATACCGAACGGTCACGGACAAAACTGTAAACAGGGTGTTTAATGTAATGCTCATGTATGTCCGTGCCTTTTTGTTTGTTCATGCTTTACACAACATGTAGAGGGAGGGTCGAAGGCTTAACAGTCCCAATTTAGTTGGGTTTGGTGGTCATTTTAGGCTTGTAAATAAAAGTTGTGTCATGTGGACACTTGTGGGAGATTTCGGTCTGTATTTTGGATCCTTTGTTGTGCAACTGTTCAGAGCTTGTGAAGTCTGTTTGTAATTTGCATTGGTTATGAAGTGTTTCCTGAAATGATTACTTGTGGATCCCGAGTGAGGCGCTTTCTCTAATCCGTTTTCTCTTTTGTAGGTCCTAAGGGACCCTAGGAGGTTTCGGGGAGGCTGACCTTTGCGGACGGACACTCAAGGGTACCGCACGATTTAGGCAAAACTAGCTAAGTCCGTGACAGTTGGTATCAAAGCGAGACAAGCACTCATAAAAACACTTGGCATGCAAACGTGGGGGACCTAGCGGGGCTGTGTTGAGGGCAGCCAGCACGCGCGACCGTTTACGAGAAAAACGGGCATGAAGATGTAGGGAAAAGGAGTCGCTCAAAGGAGCGGTATTTGAGATTGGCATTCAGAGGAATGGCTAACCCTTCGCGCAAGAGGCACTACGAGGACAAGCAAGCTGAGAAGAATGCGTAACGCACAAAGGTTAGGATGGCTGAGTTTGAGCTATAGCTCAACGTTGGCAACCATACTTGATGGTGCTCAAGGCAAGCGAGACACTTGGTAAATGATGAAATTATGTAAAGTGGAATGAGAATAAGTGGGGGAGAATGTCACTGACAAAACTGTAAACATGGTGTTTAATGTAATGCTCATGTATGTCCGTGTCTTTTAGTTTGTTCATGCTTTGCATAGTATGTAGAGGGACGGTCGAAGGCTTAACAGCCCCAATTTAGTTGGGTTTGGTGGTCATTTTAGGCTTGTAAATAAAGGTTGTGTCATGTGGATACTTGTGGGAGATTTTGGTTTGTAGTGGACCATTTTGGATCCTTTGTTGTGCAACCGTTCAAAACTTGTGAAGTCTGTTTGTAATTTACATTGGTTATGAAGTGTTTTCTGAAATGATTGCTTGTGGATCCCGAGTTAGGCGCTTTCTCTAACCCGTTTTCTCTTTTGTAGATCCTATGGGACCCTAGGAGGTTTTGGGGAGACTGACATTTACGGACGGACATGCAAGGGTGCCACACGACTTAGGCAAAATCAGCTAAGTCCATGACAGAATGATATGCCGCTCAGTATACAGTATCATACCGCACCGAGCGAATGTCGAAACGCCGATACGATACGATATTTCAAACCTTGGTTTAAATCATACAAGGATAAGCAATCAATTAAAACAACCACCAACCACTTGTACAACCAATCAAACTCAGATTATTTAGACTATCAAACTGCACAAAATAAAGTACTGTTTAAAGTAATTCTTAAATTACAATTTTGTTTAAAACAAAGAAATATTGACACAAACCTTCCCTGGAATATTCACAAGCTGAGCTCGACTACCAGTCGCAATCAAGATATGTTTTGCAGAGTACTGCTTTGCTGTACCATCTGGTTGTGTCACTTCTACTAAATGTGCATCTATTAGCTTGCCCTCTCCTTCGAACATTGTCACACCAGCATTCGATAGTAATCTCTTGTATATTCCATTTAACCGAATGATTTCCTGTGTCTGTATGGCAATCAAAATTGAATCAAGTAAGCTCTAATCTAAGAAGAATACAATAGCATTTAATGACATTTCAACAAATAATTTGGCCTCTAAGCACAGAGATAGTTAAGTAATCAAATAATATAAGTACCGATGCAAGATATTTCAAGAATGCAAGTCATAACATTAAAAAAATGTGTGAATAGCCTCTGAGAAAGCACAAACTTCTGGAACAAAAAGGGGACATTTCATCAAGCAAAGAAAATGAACACTAGAAATGAACATGTTGCTCTTGCTGCTACAAGTGAGCAAACTAGTGAATGAGAAGGCCATAAATGCAAACAATATCACCAATAATGACAACTATAAGTTAATGAAACAATAAAACACCTAGTTAGGTTATCGATAGTCCATAAGAAACCATGATAAGACTATAAGCATAGTTTCAAAGAGCTTTAATCTAGAACAAACTTTCTAAGTCTCATCTCACAAAGTTCCATGGGCAAATACTACAGTAATGGCACGAACTTGAGTTTGATATCAGAAACAGTGTAGTCAAAGGCACTAGGCACAATAAGGGCCAAGGTTCCAAAATGTGCAACGCTCTAGGTGCTCACCTGAGCGAAACGAGATGCTCCCAAATATTAAAATTAAAAATATATATCATGATTGATAAATATAATTACTAAAATAAAATAACAAGTCAAAATTGCATTTATTTGAAGTATCAAATTACATTATCGGTTAGGTGGTTGTTGGTTGTTATGGGTTGGGAGTGGAAGAGGGAGGAGGAGGAGGTATGGGAGAGGGTTATTGTTTGTTGGGTAGCTATGGGTTACTGTCGGTTGGGAGAAGAGGGAGGAGGCAGGAGGAGAAAGGAGAGGGGGCCGTGGTCCAAGAGCAGGGAGGGGAGCTATCAAGGAGGACGAGGAGCATGCTGTCAAGGAAGGGGGGAGTTGTGACTGGGGGTAAGAGGAAGGGGAACGGGATGAGGAACGAGAAGCTGTGATCAGAAAGGGGGGATGTGGTCTAGGAGGGGGAGGATGTTGTCGGGGAAGGGGGAAGCTGCAAAGGGGAAGGGAGGGGGTTTGTGGTCCTGTAAGCTGCGATAAAGAGGGGGAAGAGTGAGGGGAAGACGTTGGTGGATGCTGACGCGGAGGGCTGCGACAAAGGGGGGGAGAGGGAGGGGAAGATGTTGGCGGCTGCAACGGAGGAGGGAAAGGGGTGATATCAAGGTCCAAAGGTGTGCACTGACGAAGGAGGAAGAGGAGAGAGGGATATCAAGGAAGAGCTTGCCGGAGGAAGACGTTGTCACCATCGCCGTTCACTGATGAAGAGGAAGATGCTGTTAATTGATCTCGACCGAGGCCTAATTTGAACTAGATGCATTGATTGAGCTCAACCCAGGCCTAATTTGAATTAGGTGGATTCCTAGCCCACCTAGCACCTAGGCCTAGGTGTGTGCCCAGTTTCTAGGCGCTCACCTAGACTAGTTTCTAGGCGCTCGGGCCTCGCCCCGCCTCGCTTGGGAACCTAAGCGAGAGCCCAGTGACTTCACTGATCAGTCAACAATCTAAGAAAGACAACCACAGAAATTCCACTTGTAAGAAGTTAGGCTTGTACATATAATTTCATGACCATATAAGCCTAGTTGTTGATTTTACGGCCTCTTTAACTTTTAAAAGGGAAAATCTTTTGTTGTAGTAAAAGATGGAATCTAAGTAGTGATTACTGTTCCAAGCCTTTTAAATGCTTCTCATAATTCTATATGAAGTAAAATTTATTTCAGAATTTGTGCAACTAGATAGGACCAACAAGGCCACAATCATACTCAGAGTTGAATGATACTCGAGAGCTGAATGTGAAGGACCACCAAAGCGACATCCATAACTGCGTGTGTTGTGTTTTGGAGAAGCTTTTGACGTCAAAATCATTGATGCAATAGCGAGAAAGGGCAGCAACTGTTGCTGCTCTTGCTGCCCTCGCAGATGGCAGCGCTGCCATCTGTGTGCAGGCTTCCGGTTGGCGGCCGGCGGCTGGCGGGTTGCCGCAGCGGCGGCCGCCTGCGCGCGGGCATTGTGCCCGCAGTTAGGGCTGCCTGCAGCGGCACCCGCCAGCAGGGCCGTAGGCATGGCGGCGGCATGCGCACGGGCGCAGGCGGCGCCTGTGGTCGCTGGGCCCTCGGGCGAGCCACCCGCAGGGGCGAGGCTCGCCAACGGCAGCTGCTTGCGGGGGCTGCGCTCGTGAGCAGAGCCACCCACAGGGTTGCCCACCTGCAGGGGCAGTGCCGCCCGCGGGAACACCGCCCGCAGGCGAGCCGCCCACGGGCAAGGGCGGCGCCCCTGCCCCCTGCAGTGGCCGCCGCCGGCAGCTGGAAATTGCAAACCAGTCACAGCTAAACCAACTGGCCACAGGAGTAACTCATTTTAGGGTGAACCTAGTGTGCAAGGTTCCCGCCACCATAGGGCCAAAGGAGGGCCAATGTATGCCACCATACCCCTAACCAGAAAGGTCGTTCCTATGACTCAAAAGTCTAGGAACACGCTTACCATTGTACAAAGGCTCTCTCTCCATTTAATTAAATTGTAACTCATGATGGTTGATACTCGATAATACCATTAAAGAGAACCTGAAATAGTGTTTATGGATCCTCTATTTAACTTTTCCTACATGTCATATAAAATCGAAATAGAGCCAATAAATGCACAGCAGGCTCATATTAGATCTGCCTGACACTTAATATTGTAAGCCAAGATTTGAAATCAGGAGATGATTATGCACATTTGTGCACAATGAATTCAATAAAATATATTATCAACTCAAATCTATTCAAAAATTTTTCACAATTACTTACACTTCATGTTTTAACCAAATGTTGCAAACAACATACATAGTTGTTGAAGAGGATTCATCCCTTTAGCTGACAGTTGCAAACAAGATTTAAAAAAAAAAAAGAAAATTTTTGACAGAAACTTATTCTGGCTTTTAGCTATATGAAGGTTGGACCAAATATGAAGTATTATTATATCACCGACAGCAGATAAATTATACAAAGAGATACATAGAATAGTAGATATCAGTAAAATATGAAAAATAGGGGAAATGAAAGAAGCAGCATAAAAGTAAAGAACAAAGAAGTCTGTTGTCTTCTCAAAACAAACCAAACACAACAAGTTTTCCTATTACAGAAAAGATAAAATTCTATGAAATTATCAGAACTCTAAGAGGGTTAAATAACTACTTTAAAAGAACAACATATCTAACTAGAACTCTTCCAAAACAAAAGCATCCGAGTATTTGAACCCTTTTAGGGCTTGGTTGAATGGGAAATAATGGCAAGCCAAAAAGATATTGAAGAAATTGGTGAGCCAGGTTATAGTTCCCATATCTGCCTAGCATATTGACTCAAGACATCATCAGCCAGCCCTATATACTTCTGACCAAGCATTAAAATATCAAACCGTACCGGAGTTTCGACATTCGCTCAGTACGGTACGATACTATATATATATATATACATATACATATATATATATACATATACATATATATATATATACATATACATATATATATATACATATACATATATACATATACATATACATATACATATATATATATATACATATACATATATACATATATATATACATATATATATATATAATAAAATAAAAATTCAGCGACGTCGCCTCTCTCTTCTCGACGTCGCCAAGGCGACATCGCTTATATAAGTGTATATATATATATATATATATATAAGTAAAAAAATATTATATATATTTATATATAAATATTTTTATAAAAGGTGACATTGTGTCGCCTCGGCGACATCGCCCCAAGTGGGAGAAGGGAAAGGCGACTTCATATTATATATATATATAATATATATTATATATATATATACCGTTACCGGGCGGTATATATATATATATATTATATATACATACATTATAAAAGGCGACATCGCCTTTTATAATGTGTGTATATATATATATATATATATATATATATATATATATATACACCACTCGATAACGGGCGGTCCGTGTACCAGTCTACTGACGGATCGGTACATACCAGGCGGTATTATTCGAAATTGAAGACCTTGCTTCTGACACAGTCCATAGTCCATAAAAAATTGATAGATGAACCACACACTCTGTCAACAAAGTACTACCAAAGATAGGACCAACTAATGTCTAAAATTTTTGGACTTTATTATATATATATTGTTGCACTTAAAGAGAAGGAAATAAAGCACGAAAGCAGAATAGCAAGATAATTAGTTTTTACTCTGACCTTATTGTGCAAAAGTTTTTTCCAATTGAAGCCAATTTCATCACTGAGCTCCCACCCAAAATTTCTAGAATCCTGTAAATAAAAGGACACGTCAAAATATTAGCATCTGAAATCATATATTGGGATCCAACAATGTGATGAATAATATATTTCCACAACTACAATGACAAGTCATAATATCCCAATTATTTGGGACCTGTTCCATCGATTTTTTTTGCTACCATTAAGCTCTTTAAGAAATAATATATCACCACAAGAAAGCAAAAGAACAGAAAATAAAGTGTAACCATGTCATAAAATGTAAGAACCTCAGCTACAACACAATGAGAACCAACAATTTCAGTTACAGTATCTATATAATTCATGTATGTAATCAACTAGTTTTGGTGTATTTGTCTTCACACTTAATAACTTGCATATAAAATATACAATTATCTTTCTAGTTCTTCCATAAAGCAAGGTTCTGAATACCGTACCGTACCGGTATACTGATCAGTTATCAGTACGGTATGTACCAAGCTGTACTAAACATACCGACACACGATACATTAAGGTGTACCAATGTACCGCCCGTATCGGTCCTCTATCGGAGCGGTACAGTACGATATTGCAAACCATGCTTAAGAGTCACTATATTCTAAAGAATATAACATGAATTAGGGGTCACATAAACAAAACTAACTCCAATGAAGAAATAACAAAAAAGGGTGAAAGGTAAGCTTTTGGTGATAGTGCTTAGTAACATAAAGGTGTTGACTCCAGGGTGAAGGACCATAGTCGGAATTCAAAGCAAGAAGTAAAAAACCTATCAGAGTGACCAACCAGTATTTTTCAAGCTGACCAGAAAACAAGAGCAATTCCACCTCATCTGGTCTGGAACAAGGGTTATTACATGGTAATCCTACTGAACTGGACTTATCAACCAGTTTTAATAGTTAAAATTAGCGGTGACAAATGATACACCTATCACCAGCACTTATCATTTTTTATATTTTTACAGCTATCTTCCCTAATTTTTCCTTTTAATCGTTCCTTCAACATCTCACTCGTCTTCTTTTTCTCTTTATTTCTCTCTCTTCCTCCTCCACCTTACTGCCTTGCCCCGCTCCGACGATCAAGGCACTAGGCACTTGCTCAAACGAAGCTAGGCTCTTAATATTATATTATAGAAAAAAACACTAAAGACAATCATTAAAATTTGACATGAGTTTTGTATCATTTCATAATCAAAAGTTCACTATTAAGACATCAAATTACATATATTTAACCTCAAATTACAAAACAATGTGTTGTCGGCATGGATAAGTAAAAGCATTGAGCATATATGAGAATGTGCATTCAAGCAATAAAGAGAATTCAACTTTCATTTCAACTCACATGGTGCGAAGGAAAAGTGCAACAATAGCACTGTCACCAATGAGTTCATGAGATGATAAACCAAATATACTAAAACGTAAAAATTTCAAACCTCGACTTCCACCTAGTTGGAGAAAGTCTTGATAAAGAAAGTGAACATGAATATGTTACCAACAGAAGCAAAGAATAGAGAAACAGAGTGTACAAAAGCAACAGAAAAGATGGAGAGGGTGGTAGAGAGACAGCGATGGAGGAGATGGAGAGAGTAATATATGGAGAAGTTGAGCGAACTGCAGCCTCAAGTCGCTAAGATATGATGCTGGCTCTAGAGTAGCCAGAGATAGAGGTTAGCCTCAAAGAAGTGTAGCTGGGTCATAATCATGGAAATAAGAAATGAAGCTAATAATGAAATAGGGCAACGATGCAGTAGAATGCAGAGGAGAATAGACCATATCACAATTGTCGGAGAAGTAGAAAGCATAGTTTGACATACCACCCGAAACCAGTGATTTCAATAGGCGCTTGAGCGCTCGCCTAGGCGCTCGGGCGAGGCGAGGCGAGGCCCGAGCGCCTCACTTCATGTCCAGGCACCTCGCTTCAAAGAGGCACCGCCTTGTCACGAACGGTCGTCGCGCACCCGC